CCTGGGGTACTCACGTTTGGAATGGGGAATCGAAATTCATGGTGTTTCAGTAAATGGGAGCCCCATTTGGGCCCCATTTACTGTCAAATATGACACTGACAAGCGGGAAGTTTCGCACCTGTTCTGGAGATTTCTAGAACTATCTGGAATACCTGGAGAAAAGGATATAAGCGACGACGAGAACCAGACCAGGGGGAGTGAAGTGACAGCCGCGCCTGAGTGCAGAAGAAGTTAAACCCGCGAGTCGGAAACGCGTGTTTTCCGTGTGTTATTGTTATCGTTTGTGAAGTTGACGTTAATTTTAGAAGTTAGTTTGTTCCTGTTCCGTAGTTAAAGTTGTACCGAGTGGAATAAAAGTTGTAAGTTGAAGAAAGAATTTGATACTCGGCCATCCACGGTACAATATTGTTAACAGTTCCCCTATAATATTTTCTTTATATTTTCAAATTACAAGTGTTTTTACACATTTATTATATGAATACATGTTGTAGGTGATCCACTTCAATCATATCACTTAAGACAAACATTCTCAGCAGAACTATGTGTTTTGTCGCTAACTCAAAATGGGTTTAGTGAAGCTTCGCAATATCTAAAAAGTGGTTTGGACGTATTTTTAAGTGAATGGCAGTTATTAAATCCTATGTTTAGAAATCTAAGGTATGTACGCAACGTATTTTCTTAGTAACTATTATCTTGGTAACAGTAAAAACATACCATAATCAACGTAGATGTGGATGCATTTATGTGATTTTGCTTAATAAAAATTGTTCCAGATATAATAAAATGTTAAAACTTCAAACGTTAATTGAGGTGGATCAGTTCCTTCAGTTTGCAAAAGCTATTGCAAACGGCCCTGAAGAACCGGTGGCTTTATTGCAAGATTATTGGTTGTCTACACATAATGTTTTCCCTTCCATGATTTTAAATGAAGCAGTACTCTTATATAGGAAGCTTTTTCTTAAACTACTCGTGGATAGATTGCAAAATTTAAACAAACCGAACCTTGTTAGGCAGTTGAAGAACACTGAACTCACTTTGGTTTCGAATTTCATGAATTTAGCTGCGGAAGACTTCAATTATGAAATGACCCGCAAGTACTTAACGTGAGTTTGCTAAATAATTTCTCGATTTACTTTAATTTATAATCAGAATATTTAAGAATTGCAAGAACTCTTATTTTAAGCAGTTGTTTAATTTAGGCAATTCAAAAGCATAAATTCTCCTGAAAAACTAACAATGATAGAAGGCTCGTTGTACTGGATGCGTGGGAAACTACACAAAAATGATTCCGTTGAGATTGAACAAGACCTCAGGGCTGCAATTGCAAAATTTAGTAAGTTTGAACAAGTTGTATTTATTAACAATTTGTTGTCGAATTGCTTAAAATGTTATGTTACTTGTTAATATTTAACAGCAAATAAATTAGTAAGTTTTTTGCAGAGGAAGTAACATTTTTGCATAAAATTGAGGATAAAGACGTGATAACATCATTTATGCGAATTATAGATATTAATTTAAATATGGCTGCTATTGGCAGAGATACTTCAGATTTCGAATTCACCTGCGAAAGTCTAAAAGATAAAATTCTATCTGATGGAAGGAGCGATTTAGGGTAATATAATGCATACATATAATGAACTGAATTGTACGTTTTGGCTAATATACTACTACGAAAACTATTAAATCAGTGCTAATATATTTGAGGGGATAACTGTTATTCTATGGATGGATCCATATTAAGCATTCCACGGAAATCAAGTAAATAAATTTATTTCTTCAGATCTAGCGAGATGGCGATTAAATCAAAGGCTCTACTCAAGCTTGCCTATATTTTCCACGATCAATCAGGAAATGAATTAAATTTTGTTATGTGTGTGTTAAGAGCTATGAAGTTTGGCTCCAAGGAGGGAAGACAGCTTTTCCCTTGTATTCTTTTACAGGATTGTTTGGAGTCCGATTTGACGGAAATGTTTATAACGGAAACTGATAATATGCCGACTTGGATGTTTTTAGGGTGGATTCCACAATTACTAGGTATATTAAAGCTATTAAGTTAATTAATTAGGATTCTAATATTTAAGCGTATTAAGTAGTGTTGGGCGATTGTGGCTCTGGCAAAAAGTTGAGATTAACATGAAATATTAGTTGCAAACTAATAAGGATTTACGAACGACATTTAAAATATTAAAGATACATTAAAAATCAATCATGCTTTTGTAGCCAATGTGGATAGTTCCAAACTCACCGCTATTTCCAATATAATTTTGAGAATAGCTCGTACTTATCCCCAGGCGATTATGTATTCATACCGATTATTTAAAGAAAATTATCGCAACTCCTGCCAGCGCTGTGTCGAAGAGAGGATGCAATTGATTGATGAACTTGATCTATTGCTTTTAAGTGATCCTCTCGTTGATAAATTCCTCAAAGGTAGATTCGCCTATTCGAATTGATAGCACACTTTCTAATATATCTTTATTTTTAACAGCATTATCACGGGTGGTAATACCATCAATAGCTTTGAAGTACTTTACAGACAAAATGCGTTCCGCTCTAAATATGCAAGTTATTATGCAATATAAAGATTGCATATTAGAACTTCTGAACGAAAATTCAGATTCTTATGATTCAACCAGTTTACAAGGTACCATTTATTTTTATTAACGTAGATTTCCCAATTAATTAATTAAAAAACTTGTTTAAGCTGGATCAAGCTTACCAGTTTTTTACTAATTATTCTTCTTAAATTATTTTTACTAAATTGTATTATTAAATTATTTATATTCACATTAAAACTATACCAAATAGATCACACTCTCAAAAGTTCTGATTGAAAATTCCCATTCTAATTGACCATTTTAAGGTCATATTTCTATATTTATTCACGATTACGGTATAATAATTTTATAGGTGATATTTACAAACCACTGAAGAATTTTGGAAAGGACTTTGAAAAGATAAACGTTCACAATACAATAGAGCAAAATAAAACCACATTGTGTAATCTACTTCAACGTAGTAATCCAATCAAGCAATATAAATATGTCCAGTTGAAAGACTATTGTCCCTGGTTGGCAAATTTTTCGGCAGGCAGAAATAGTTTAGAACTAGAAATACCTGGGCAGTACACCGGTGAAAAAATGCCACTGATTCAGCACCATATTAAAGTTGCAGGATTTGGCGAGAAGGTATTTGTATATACATATTAGCAAATGCTTCAGACACACAGAAAAAAATTCTAAGAAAGCATTGTGCGAATTAAAGTTTTAAGAACCAAAATTTTCTAACATCTAAAACTGTTTTAAATATTGTGGAACTTTGGTTTGGTGGAAATTCAGACCAACTGATATAAACAATTTTCATTTTTATGTACATGCATATGTTAAACTTGGGTCAATAAATATTTTTATAGGTGATTGTAATGAATTCTCTACGCAAACCAATTAAGATAACTATGGTAGGAATAAATGGCAAGGAATACCCTTTTCTCATAAAATTTGGAGAAGATATCAGATTAGATCAACGGATTCAACAGTTATTTATATTGATGAACACTATTTTTGTCAGTGATAACACAAATCACCAGCTTCTGACTTATCAGGTATATTTCAGTTCCATATTAGGTTTCGATGTTGAAGAACAATTGATTTATTTAAGGTTGTACCATTAACCTCTCGGATTGGACTCATTCAGTGGGTACAAAATACAACATCCCTGCATGATTTTATTGTTAGATCACTTGCAAATAAGGAAATGTTAGAACAAATAACCGGTGCAATGAAGAATGCTCTAGGTAACTTAATGGATTATAATGCCTATAGGGAAAAGCCAAAGGTTGAACTTATTCCCTTGTACAGAAGTTGGGCCAATATGATACCTCAAGACGTTTTGAGGTAAAAGACAAAGTTATGAATTTTCGTTTCGTTAATATTCGTTTTGCTATATTATGATCTTTTCACCGTAGAAAATCTGTATGGTCAATGAGTCTAACAACTGAAGACTTCATAGCTTTAAAAAACAATTTTATAAAAAGTTACGCAGTAATTTGCGCTTGTCATTGGATTTTGGGAATTGGAGATCGCCACTTAGACAACATTAAAGTGTGTACAAAAACTGGAAAATTATTAGGCATTGATTTCGGTCATGCGTTTGGAACCGCGACTCAGCGCTTACCTATTCCAGAATTGGTCCCAATAAGGTAAAATACTGTTAGGCCTGTAGATGTAGATTATTAGTAAACGATGATTTTAGGCTCACGCCTCATCTAGAAGGGTTGATGGAACCGTTAAAAGCTAAAGGTCTATTTAGAGCTGTTATGATTGATTGTTTGAGGCTGTTAAATATAAATCGAAACCAATTGTTAGCCACGATGAACGTTTTCATTCAGGATCCATCTGTTGATTGGCTGGAACATGCAAAATATACCGCGGCAGCGTTGTGCCCGTAAGTTATATCATATGCATCCAAACTTGAGATTTTGAGCTGCCATAAAGCACTTTGGTTTTTTGTATTTCCAGGTCTCAATCATCCGACATTGTTCCAAGTGCAATCTGGAACATTCAGCAGAAAATTGATCAAGCTAAGCGCAAATTACAAGGTGCCTCTTCGATGCGCATAACGGCTGAAGATTTAAAATCATCTATTCATTACTCGAGGCCGAACTTCCAAGATTTTGTTGAATTTGTAGAGGGTGATGAAAATAATTTGAGATTCAGGTTTGTAATTATTATTTTCTCTTATGTATGTCTTCTAAGCTTTATAACAATTTGTGCAAATAGTGGACACCAAATCATATGCTCAGTTAATAAGGAAACAAACAAACGGGACATGTTGTTTGAGCGACTGGCCCGGGTTCCTACCTTTTCATGCCTTTACCATCTTCATTCATTTCTGTTTACCATGTTGGTATTTTTTTAGTTCTTCCAGTTCATGTACTATCCATCCAATCATATCCAATCATGTAGTCTCTTTCGAATCATATCTAATCATTTCAGCCTGCGCCATCCTCATCCATGCGCCATACATCCGACTCCGGCTATGTTTCACCGTGCTGCTGCATTAACGTGCAACAATCCTTTCTGCAGCATGTCTTTCCATTGAGCCAATCGTTATCACTCTGTGCCAGTTCGTCCTCATTCTTTTGTGTTCATTCATTATCCTGCCATGTGCCTTATGTGACTTATGTCCGTTTCATTAGTATCATTTATCTAAATTTGTTCGCTCCATTTCCATTTTTATTTATCCATGCCCCAGCAGGGCGTATAAAATGCTAATTTTTTCGCGGAACACGCCACACGCTATTAATTTACTAATTCTATAAGAAATCCAGTAGAGCGTTTGATTGTTGTTTTAATTCAATATGTTTTTAACTTCGAAGAGAAGTAGGTACTCGACAATGAGATATTAAAAATTGAATGTTTTAAAAATTCAAGAATTCTAGAACAAAAAATGCAGCTAATACATATACACCACAGCTTGTATACTTTCTTGATCATTCAAAAATTCAAATAATCTTAGCAAATTACAAAATATATATAATTTTGAAATATTTCATATAGTTGTGGCTTACTGAATATTTAGGACATTGAAGATATTTTAGATAAAAAAAAAAGTTCATTATTTGCTCATTAATGCAAGTTTCTAATTGCCAATTTACATCAAAATTTCCATTATACAAATCAAGTAATATTTTCGGTTTTGAACGTCTGCCCTCGGATATTAACTAAAATAATGAAATTGCAGATTACGAAACCAGGAAAGTTTGAGCGTAGAAGAGCAAGTAGATGTTTTGCTTGATCACGCGACTGACCCAAATTTGCTAGGGAGAATGTACCAGGGATGGCTTGCTCCTGTGTAATTCGATATCAGCCGTACACAGGCCTCTTATTCGTTTTGTTTGTGTATAATTTTACATTTTTTTTATTATTTTCTGAATATCAGCATTTAAACTGAAGTAAATAATTAATTATTATATTTAATTTATTTGATAACTCAAGTAACTAATAAAACATTTTTAAAGGCTTATTAAATCTATTTTATATCATAATTATTTTTATTATTGATTAAAACGATATTTTCACTGATATTTCTTTAGTAAGTTTTGGATATCTGATTTGTTGTGTTTGTAAAATCCGTCTGGCGTTAGAGAAAAATCCATTGCTGTTGTAGCAGAAGGGATCAAATTGGTATCCTTACCAAATTGAGTGTTCCAATTAGATTCGTTCGAGCGTTTCCGAACGAAAGTCCACGATTGGCTGCTGTGGGTATATTCGGAAGAAACTTTGTTTACCTGAAACATACATTGACTTTGTCCAAAAACACCATATTAAAAGGACTGTTACTTAACAAATACCTGTTTGAAATCAAACATATTGCCACCCTCCGCATTTTCCGCCTGATGCGATTGACCAAATTTGAAATTAAATCTTGTATAGTCGTTATGATCTGACTTGATAAATTGATCAAACGTTTCAGCATTTTGATCGCTAAATATATTCATGTTCACTGAATTGCTGCTTTGGAACGATGCTGTTTTTTGCAAGCTCCTCTTTCGGACTGTGGCTTCTTGTTTTGGCGCTGGAATAACCTTCCGAATTTTTTTTAAAGAAAGGATTTTAGTGAATCATTTCATATGTATACATATATACCTGTAATCCGTCCTTTGTTTTTTTTATAGTAGCCAAACAAGTCGTCTGTTGTATTTGTTTAGGGGTAGGCCGTGCAGGCCTTTTCAACCTCTCTTCCCACATTTTTGTTAGATCGCTGGAACTACTACTGAAATCGAAAAACTTTTTGTCCTGTTCCAAAAATTCCTGTCGTATGGCTTTTTGGCTTAGCTTAGAAGGATATCGGAACAGGGGCTTTGATGCTACAAATCAAACTTTTCGGTATTACTGATCTTGCAGAATTTACAGGACTATTACTTTCGCTTATAGTAGAGTCGCTATTTGATAACCTCTTCTTCACGTTTTCTCTTTTCTCGAAAGAAGCGCTATGTGCGTTTGTACCCTTTTTTGTAAGTAGTGTCTTCTTCAAAGGAGGAGTAAATTTCGTTATCCTTTTCCTCGACGGTGCACGTTCTATATGTTGGTTTGCAGTCTTTCTATCGGCTTTTTTCAAATTTATTTCGTTTGAAGTCGTCAAAGGGCTTGCATCAGTTGTTTCTGTGATTAATTACAAGTTTTTGATTTTACTCAACAAATATCGCTGAAGTTCCCGATTTATCCGAAATCACTCAAAAAGTGTTTCAAATCCTCCATAATATGTACATCGCAATAGAATAATATAAATTAGAAATTTTTCATTTGACTTACCAGACACCGAATTCTCCACAGTAGGGATGTGAACTGCTAAATCGCCAATTTTCACTCCGCTGGAACTGCTGCTGAAATCTCCATCTAAATTGCGCAGCTTTGAAGCTTCAGATATACTCGTTGAATCGCAATGTTTTCCTTTAGCTTCCGATGAATTACTTCCAATTGAAGGTGCGTGTTCATTTGCTAACGATAGTTTAACCTTTTTCACCAAGTTTTCTTGATCGGATTGGATTGGTCGCCTAAAATAAACGCCGGACGCATTTTCATAAATACCTAGAATCTTATATTAAATTTGAAGTCACTTACTTGTTTCCAGCTTTTAGGTCGTTTAAACTGGTATGGTTTAAACTGGTATCAGGCGGCGAGTGATTTTCATAATTTTTTTTACATTTGCGCTGTTTTTCCAATGCGTCTTTGTATTCTTCTATGGTACGGGCTGTTATACCATCTCTCAGACTTGAGCTTGATTCATTAGTAGCTTGCTCATTTGAAGATGCACTCTCAATCTGTTTGTTTATATTCGAATTATTATTGTCGTTATCAGTAACTTTGATTAATTCGTCGGCAATACTTTCTGAGGCCGATATAATTTGCTGTTGATTTTCGATGTCTCTAACATGGAACTCTAGGTTTTTATCTTTAACTTGTTCAGGGTTGGTATGATGAATAGTAAGTTGTGGGGCTTCAGAGCAGAAGAATGGTTCCGTGGTACGATCGAAGTCAGCATCACAAGAATGAGTGCTTTTTTGTGAACTTGGATGTGATACGGCTTCATTTTGGTTGGAGCTGGTATCAACTAAAATTCAGGTTATCAAAAATATAACTACATATATGTATAATGCATAATATTGAGATTCTGTACCTTGATCAAACATCACCTTCGATTTCTCATATGGAGTTTCCCTTACAATTAATTCAACAATTTCTGATGTATCTGTAAGAGCGTCACTACTTTTTATGTTGCTTTCAAAATGTTGATTTCCACGCATTTTTGATTGCCCAGAAGTATTTGCCTGATTTATAGCACCATCTGTCTTATCTAAAATAGTGCAGGGATTTGAAATGATGGAAAACTTTGAAATTGAAAACTCTATAAGTTCACATTTAGGAATGTTTTCCGGGCTTTGAAGCCGTGGTCTATCGGAATTTCTTCCTTAAGAAGGAAGTCTTCCGGAAGACTTCCTTCTTAAGGAAGAAATTCCGATAGACCACGGCTTCAAAGCCCGGAAAACATTCCTAAATGTAATCTGACCGGCCGTGAAAGCCTTCATAGTCTATAAGTTCAATTTTCCTTTTTATTTAATTAGTAATACTTTGTGCCTACAATGTTCATAATATCTTAACCATGAATGACCATATTTTCTTGGCAATCAAATTCAAGAACACCGTTTGGCGCAAATCGATATGTCTTCTAAAGCGAAGCTTACCTTCCAAAGTTCCTTTGTTGCTGATTTCCTTAAACGTTCTAGAGACCAAAGGAGAGTAGCTTAAATCGCTGATAGATGAATCAGCATTTTGACGATTTTCTTCAGACTTTTCCATAATGCAATTATTCGGGTTTTCAAACCCTTCGATATCTTTTGCATTTTTATCTAAAGTCACAACTTTACTATCTCCTTGTTTCAAACTATTCACTTCTGTTTCTATCTTTGCTTGAGTCGCAACAAGGGAGCGTCTTTTCAACTTTAATTTATATCGCGATCTGTTAGTTGCAATGGTCTTACCAGTTATTGCTTTCCGCTTTTCGTTACTAAGAATTTTGTTTATCATTAGCCTTTTCATAGCGGCAGTCAGTTTATTGGGACTCATTTTCCTGTTTTCATTTTTCTTAGTGGATATAATCAGTTTCTTTTTTAGTCTTCTGTTAAATCTCCTTTTTGGCTGTTTGTCCAGCGGTTCAATTTTTCTTTGTAGCATTTCATCTGGAGAACTAACGCTCTCCTCTTGAACGTGTGTTTTTTCTTTAACTTTTGGATTTAGACTCTTTGAAAATATCTCCATACGAGCTGTATTTTCAATGGATTCGGTAATATCGTGGACCTGTGGTTGACTCCTTTTCAGTACTTCGTCTTCTTCTTGGTGAGTGGTAGTCTGTTTAGGCGGCCGTTTTGTAGATTCTACTGTTGTCGTAACTTGAGATTTAGGAACTTTCAACGTCGGTTTGATTATTTGCCCAGGATCTAAAATTATCGATAATATCATTAATTAGTGATTCTTGAGGTGGACGACGTTGCAACTTGTAACTTAATTATGTCCGAGAGTTTAGTGCGTCATTAGATAACATGAAAAATATAAAAGAGTACATAACTTTGATTTGATAGAACATAGTTTTACATATAAAGCATAGGTGTATGTGGATGAGTTCAATGCCACATTTGTTTGCAAAATAACTAATCTGGGTGGAGAATGTCTATATTCAAATTAAAAAAAAATGATTGTTTCTAGCTGAAACTAAATTCTAATGAAAATTTAGTAAAAAACAGATATTGTTCTAGATGATTTTCTTGCTTGAATCGGTCAAATACTTTTTCCGCGAGCGGAACAAAAGAGTGTCTCAACGGTGATAAAACTTTTATTTGTGTCTTACCAATGAATGAATTGAAGTCTTCTTCTGATTTAGAATAAATGAGACTATCCCTAATCTTAATATCTGGATAAATGTGTTCGTGTTTAACAGCTTCACTCTTATTGCCTAGATCTTCAATTTCTAAAAATCAACGAATGTGCCATTGCGTTTTAACGTTTCATAAAAAAAATTGTACCGTTGGCATCCATTTCTTCGGCGAAAGAGACAAAATCTTCAACTATCGAACTCATATCCAAGTCTCCCACATTGCCTCTTATAGTGAGATTGAACTTTGGAGTTATCACTTTCGCAACATTAGTACCCACATTAAATATTGATGAATTCGGTATCGTCGAAGTGCTAGTAGTGTTTCCAAGATTTCTGGCATTAATTTGGTTCTGAGTTACTATAGGGGTCGAAGTTCTTCTGGTATTATCTTGCAAGAAACTGGCAAAGTCCGTTATGTATGGCGATTGCGGAACTTGGCAAATAATACTTTTTGGTGGCTCGGTTGCAAGCAAAAATGGAGAGGCTTCGACTGCTGCCGCATAACCTATTTAATATAATCTAATTATTTGAAAAGCAATGTGGAATAAAAGCTGTGGAACCATTGCCTTCGTTTTGTCTAATTCTATGAAGCTGTTGGGACAGATCACCCGACGATAATTGGGAAGTTGGAGTAGAACCTAAGAAGCTCTGTTGGGGTTCTTGCAAAATGTTTGCGGAATTGCGATTACAATTGAATATATTTGTATCTAGAAAATTATATTAGATGCCTTTTAAAAGTTATTTTAATTAGTGTTAATTAGTGTTATTAAAACCATATGAATAAGACTTGCTGACGTTTTCTTATACACATTACCATTTTTTTTCGTAGCAGCGTTTTCGTTAGTTTCATATATTAACGCGTCTTGAGTTAAATCCAAACTACTTTGGCTGTAGCTCACGATAGCTCCCAGTTCCAAGTTATTTGTATTCGATGCGTTTTCTGATACATCTAACTTGGTATTAGGTGTAAATATTTGTTCTATACGAGTTTTCACTTGTGCTGCCGTCCCGCAATTCTGCACAAATCGAAAGTGTAACGAAATCTAAAGTAATACTGCGAAAATGAAAATTCCGTTTGCCGGGAATGAAAAGTTTTTCGGGTTAATGAAAAGTTTACAAAATAAATATTCGTCAAACTGGTACCAACCTGAGAATTGGGATGGCTCGCCAGCGGAGTACACATTATTGTTCCAATATTCTGAAGCGAATAATTAATTGCTTCCTCTGGATAAATATCGCTTTCATTGGCAATACCAATTCCTTTAGACATATTTTCTAGAAAGAATCTTTGATTTGCAGAAGTTTCCTGTATATGAGACCCATCAAAAATTGAGTGATTCATCTCTACCGGATTTTCTTTCTAAGATTCACTATTAATTATGTTATCTGCAAAACAGGTTGTCTTTGCAATCTTACTTCAGATTGCTGAAGAATTTCCATCATGTTTGGGGAATATGGAGTAACGTCGGTATCAAGTTTCTGCCTGTTTTCGTTGTATTCGTTAATCAGTTTGTTCAGATTTGATATGGAAAATTTATTTTGTAGCTTCAATTTTTGGATTCTACAATTCAAGTCATATCTTAAACGGGCACGTCGGTCAATCGAAGGAAATTTGGGATCCTGAAAATGGAAATTTTAGTAAAGCCACCAGGTATGCGTAAGCTAAGGTGCAGCACAAGAATGTTTCGGTCAAGAGCTGTTTTTTCATGTAGCTAAAGAATGTATTTTGATCAAATTTGCGTTAATTAGAAGTTTCTAATTAAACATACCACTTGGTAAACAAGCGCAATTCTCCTCGGCTAAATTGCAGTTAGAGGTAAGTGCGCACGTGAGCGCACTTTTCTCTTTTGTCTACGCACTTGCCCAATGTGGGTTAATTTTTTTAGTCCAAAAATGTTTTGTTACTTACAACGCGTCCGGGAGTGTATAAGAAATATTAATATTTCGACCCAAAGACTGTACCAAATATCTCAAAAAGATGAGTTTCAAGAGAAGTTCATATTGTGAAACAACGACTATTCCTTTGAAACAATTGTTTGGACTTTATTTAGATCGAAAGCCACCAAGTGGCTAAGAAAATATTTGAAAGCCAAATTAAAAATCGGAACACCAGAAATAATTGATTCTTGGTCCATCCATTTCCTCTTGAGAACAGTGATTTGGTAAAGAGTGACAAACGCTTGTCTGTGGTTGATACAGATGATGGCGTGAATCTCATAAGCGAGGAAGTTGAAGACGACACAAAACTGCGGACTCTGAATTACCATGCATTGAGAAATTAGTCCTAGTAAAATACTACAGAACAAGGTTTCTCAGGCAGTACATCCAATAAATAAAAACTAAATATGACCATAAAAAGATGGTGCAATTCACTAGGAGAATTGCATTATTTATTATTGAACATAACAAAACTGGAATTTTGCTACCGAATTTCTACGTCCTTTTCCCGTAATTATCATGTTTAGTACTAGTTGAAATAAACGAAGTTCATTATGTCAATTAAGAGTTTACCAGATATTTTTTAGAACAGTGAAAATATTAGAATTTTCTAGGCACTAATTGCAACACTGTGAGAAATTTAAAGCAAACAATTATTAACTTAAAGTTTTATAATTAATTAAACTCATGTTTTAATAAAACTGATCAGCAGAACACACAAAAAAGTTTTAGAAAAAAGTGATGTTATGACTCATTACCTGAGATTTCTTTTTTAGTCGGCGTTGCAAATTATCCACCATTTCCATGAGTTCTTGGGGCCAAATGCCTCTCACCATGTAGATGCCATAATCCCTTAAAGTTGTAGCATTTTGGGCAAGCTTGAACTTAAAGTCGAGTTTTATAGATTTTGGGTTATTGGTATCACCAGAAGGAATTGTTTGCAATTGCCAGCTGGAATAAACAAAGAACAGAACTCGTGAATTAAAAAGTAAATCGATTTTATAAAATAGGAAAAAAAATTATGAACAACAGAAATGTTGTCAGAGAAGCTCAAGGCTGAAAATTGTACGACTGTTTATTGATTGATTTTCAAATCAATTTAATTAAGTACACATTTTTCCTTTTTCCCAATACCTTGAACTACTGATTTCAAGGAGTTAATTAATACTTGTTTTGTTCCAAAATTCTTAGTGCTATACTTACACCTTGATATTGAAATATAAATCAGCTAACTTGGTAAGTAGCGTGAAATGAGTGGTAACAAAGGTAAATGCCTGTGATTGGGCTAAAAACTCACAAATTGACATTGCAATAGAGATTCCTTCTTCTAAAGAGGTCGACCTGTAAGCAATATATTTGGATTAACAATAACCAGTATATGTATCTCATCAGTTTAAACAGAAAGTTGCTAAAATAGAAGACAGCTGAACTCAAATTGATCTGTTATTTAGACGAATCTTCCTAAATATCGATCGATCTGTGATAAAATATAAATAATATATAATTAACTAATAAGAAGTGTACTAGCATTCTTATAAAGTATGGATTATTCTAAAACCCACAACCTATCTACTCAATACTTTTGCTCACCTACAGAGTTCGTCAATAATTATTAAAGAACGATCAGTCATTGTAGATAAAATGTAGTCTACTTCATTCATCTGTAAGAAAAGTAATAATTATGATAAAATAATTACTCATCAAATGATAAAACTCAAAAGTGACCCAAACTATAAATGTCTAAAGTATTAACACACAAGTAAGACACACAACACCAGTAATGAATGAACATATAAGTAATGATTGTTTTGTGTTTTATTTGAATTTACTCAAAAATTTTTTTCACATTATATTCAATCATGAATGTCTAAAATTGTCAGTTGGCAAAAGAACAGAAATATTTTTTTGGCGCAAAAACTATAAATGCTTCAAGATTTCACAAAGAGAACAAAAATGTGCAGAGGATTAGTGCATAAACTCAAAAAAAGTCAGTAGACTCCAGTTCCCAAATAAAAAGTTCTAGTAATTTTTGCATCAAGACACTCAAGAATTCCTCATTTGCCCAAAGCGGATGAACTGGGTTGTTTAATCGAAACATGAGTCTTACATAGGAACAAATTAACGGCGATATTTCAAAAAACATTTTTTTTTTGAAGAGCTTTTACTTGAACAGCAGAGGAGCCAGACATTTTTTCATAGTAAAAGTTAGATCAGATCGTCCTCGTTTGATCTAAAGATTATGGCAGAAACCTTTTCACCACGTGTTTACCGGACACCCTGTATATTAGCTGTGTTGCGTAACCAAATGGTATCTCCCAAACGTTCTATACCGCAAAATCTGATCAAACTTTTATCTATAAAGAAAATCAACTGGCTTCTCTGCATGCACTTAATTGCTAGATTTTTTTTCTGTTTTTTTTTAATGCCGGAAGAATGTTGCGATCGATTATATCGATTATGTACGTATGGGAAAATCTTGGACTAGATGTATTCGGTGCAGGTTTACAAGCAAGTAATTTTATAATTTATGCGGAAAAAGTTGAAGCAACTCAACAATTTTCAAAAGCTAATAACTAATCGTAGAAATATGCAACTTAGAGAATACTTAGATTATCACTCACCTCGAGAACGAATGAAGACGCGCTGCTTTCCATGTCGTCATCGTTGGAGATTCTAGCAAACATTTTATCTGCTGTTCTAAAAATGGCACTTTCGGCAGGAACAAAACACCCTGAAATTGAAAACTCTGTTAAATACTAGTTTAGAAAATTTACTTTTATTTATTACCGGCTTGAGCCATAATTTGAAGCAACATTACTTGTCTGATAAATATGCTTTTTCCCGCCCCATTGGGTCCAGTTATTATGTGCATATTGTAATGATCGCAAGCAGTCTGAAATCAAAAAATATTCATAAAATATCAAAATTTAATATGTTTTTAAAACAATTTTATGTACCTAAGGTTAATTTCGGTACATTTTGAGCGATAAAGAAAGCGGATAGAAAAGCTTTCGGGTACTACTTACAACTGGATTAGGAATTGGGGTTTTCTGACATAGAAAATTGAGAAGGGGATGGTGCCCTTCTACGACATTCGTGTATTCTCCGAACTTGGGCCTTATCCAACCATTGGCATAGCTGGCTTGAGCTAGAGATTGCAAAACATCCAAATACGAGATACCTTCTACCAACTGATAGAACAGTCCTGCATACTTCTTTACTTTAACAGTTATATCGTGGATCATACTAGAATAAAAAGTTAGTGTCAGTTGAAAGCTTAAAAATGCTCTATTTACGCTTGAATACTCTGAATATGAATCCGCATGGTGTATTATGTTATATTTCTAAATTTGAAGCAACCCAGTGAGCAGCGATAATTTTTAAACAGAACCTGAGCACGATATTCTTTACAAGTCAGAAAATGCGATCTTCCTGTAAATATCTGGAAAGGATGTTTTCCGTCTTTCTGCCACAAACAGCGCACAGAAGTTGAGCAACTATTGGATGTGTTTTAGAGGTCAAAAGTGCCAATTTAAGAAACTCAAATAGTAAAAATGTATGTAGGTAGGTACTGAAGCGGCTGATTTATTCCTATTTCCATAGACATGGTTAAAACCATTTGCAGCTTTAACTTTATTCATCTTGCTTCAAACTAACAGCATATTAATGAAGAGTAATATTTACGTAAATAACTAGATAGTGCATAACAATGCATAAACAATTATACAAACTTACATATTACTTAATGAGAACAAGTCGGTCAATATGTCATCAATTCTTGTTGTTAAGTTGACTAATTCAGCAGTTTTCATTGTGAAACTATTAGCTAGTCGAAATACCTAAAAACAAACACATACCTCTTCCTATTCAAAAAAATACCAATGCAAAAAAGTACCTGAATGAACTCAGGCGGTAAATCTGAAGATTTCATCCGTTTCCTTTGATTTTGATTAAGTGCCATTGTGATGTGAAATCCCTTTTTATTATTGTTTGCTAGAGCCAGAGGAAGATCGTACTTTTGCCCTAGCCGTTTGATATACTCTAAAAGCAAGAAAAATACTCAAGTTCATATCGCAACTTTTTTTATCAATTTGGAGAACAGACAATTGAAAATAGTTAAGTCCACAGCACAGGATCATGCTTTCAACACATCTTTTATCGAAAATTTACCTCGCATATCTTCGATTCTTTCCGAATATGTTTTTCTCACCAAATCCAGAAGTCCGTTAAGGCCAGGTTTAATAGCCCAAATTCTTTGCTGTTCAGCTTGCTGCCCTTTTGTAAAGTATGCCGATTCATGAATGGTTTCTCTTAAAAAAATCAAGCTCTAATACAAAACTAATGATAATCCATGTGAAGTTACCGCAGCATATTCTTAATAACGTCAAAATCCTGGTGGTTCAAGAGTTCGGATAATTCACTGAAAAATGGACGAATCGCATTTTTCAACGTCTCTTTAAGAGGCTGAATTGTCTCAACAACACTGTTTAACAGAAGTAGGTAGTTCAGTTGCCGATTGTTGCAACTGAACATTTATAATTAAAGAATTTGAATTATTGTCAGCTTGAATATTTTACCTTTGCGGGTCATCAGCAACTAAAGTACCGATGGATAAAAGCTGATCTATGCTAGCTAACTTTGGAAGTACCCCCTAAAATTATAGGTATACACATTCATATGCATATGCGATAAAAGCTTTCAACAATACCTGCACTGATAATAATATTCCAGGGTTTCGAATCAATTCCTCGACACAATCCAGTCTCTCATTTATTTTCTCAGACGAATATAATGGTTGCAAGATAATGGAACGCAAATTTCTAGTACCTATTCTAGTTAGGCATCGATTCATTATTCCAAGAAGGCTCGAATATCTGTTGGCTTGTGCAGGCTGATTACTACATACCAATTCTAGCCGATCTGCCGTAGCAATATCTACATAAAACAGGATAAGTACGGTAGAAAACAGTCCCACGGTTCTAATAACAGTAAATTCGATTCATTTTATTCTTATAATCTAAAATACACACGAAAACAAAGTCACCCCTGAATACATTTGATGTGTGGTCAATATCCACAACTGCGAGATTTTTAAAATTTTAAGTGTCTAAATAAAAAAACTGCAGCATCTTTTGCTATAAAGCTAATAATCTGAACATGGGATGGGACCAAATTGGACATCGAATTACCAACGAATTTTTTGTTGTTGTAATGTTTATTATTCGAATGTATCATTAGCAATTGCAAACCTAAATACGAGTTATATATTTACGAGGTTTAAATTCATTGGTAAGCAAGGATTGATAATGTAGTTTATTCATATTTTCAATTTTTTACTGTTGGTTCTTCAACCAACTAGTGTCCAACGTCCAACGAAACTGGGGAAATTTCAGTTTCATTTCAGTGAAGAAGAATTATTCATGTCAAGCATTGGAAAATGTTTAAACAATTACCAAAAAATTGCATTCGCTTTCCAACTACTAATAAAGTGATTGTTACGTAAGTCGTTCAAAATATAAATCTTAAATTTTGAGCTTTCGAACGGTTTTCAAACGCTCAGATTTTGCTTCAAAATTTGCCTACCAATAATTGCGTAGCCTTCCGACGTTTGATACTCCAACTTAATTGAATTGCTGGCGTAATAAATAAACATATTGTCTTGCAGATAGGTGAGAAGCCCAGAAGCCGCAGCCAAGGCGTAGTATCTAGAATTGAAGTAGTTTCAATTATACATTATACCAAATACATTGTGTTATCTCGGATACCGACCGGTTCTTGATCATAATCAACAACGGAAAAGATATTTGGATGCAAATTTTATATAATCTTTCAAGTCCATTAGCTTTACTGAAGGCCTTCCTTGGAATGGTCATTAGTTGGCGACTGGAAAAATGCTTTCTAATTTTTGCAATCAATCTGTTTTCTTTCCCAGTGTCGAATGTTGCAGGGTAAATGATCTGAAAATTGTTAATAATCCATTTAGGAGATAAATCTAAAGATATAAAATCACACTGTAAATTGTAAGGTTTACGTTTGTAACAGATTTATTAGTTTTATAGAAACTAGTGGAAGGAATAGAAGACTGTTGCATAATACTGGTAATTAATGTAGAATTAGAAAAACCAATTGAAAAAAAAGTTTACATTTTTTTAAGTTTTTCGACAGTTTATGGTATTATTTTTGATATTCGAAATAAAAAATTTTGTGACCTCAAATATTGTAAATTTTTCATCTCGCTCAAAGTGGTTTGCCAATCAACTCACCAAATGCGGATTAAAAATGTTCAATTTTGTCAGCGTGTTGTTGTAGCTTTGTGAGTCCGATGTCTGGCACAATATTAAGACTGGCCTGGATACATTCACTGCTGCGATTCCCACTTCACACCTTGCCTCGCCTCTCCCTTCAGTTAATGCTTAATAAAATAGTAATAAAAATGCAACGTTAAATAACAGCATAATACCGTTAGCACTACCAGAATACTATACCACTTTACAGAATGTTAGAAGAATTAGAAGAGAAGTAAAAAATGTGGAATTAAAAATGAACATGTAGAAAACTAAAATAATGGGCCCGAAAGAAGAGACTATCATAAGTATAGACAAGATGCCGAAATAGCACGAAGAAAGCGTCTAAGCTGGGTAGCTTTCGGCAAAATCTCAAGGATACTAAAAAATAAAAAGATCCCTTGACGAATACGCACAAAAATTTTCGACTGGTGCTGCATACATTTCCAGTATTAACTTATGGAGCGCAGACGTGGACCCTTACAAAAAATGCAATACAAAAATTAAAAACATTCTTTAAGAGATAGGAAGACAAACGAATACATAAAACAACATGCACAGGTCAAGGATGTAATAGAAAGGGTAAATTAGATGAAATTGGACTTTGCGGGACACGTAGCAAGGAGGGACGACGATATATAGAACATCAAAATAATACAATGGAGACCATGGCTGGGAGGAAGATCAAGACGTAAACCCAATACAAGATCGTCCGATAACATCAAGCGAACTGCAGGACTAAAATGGATGGAAATAGCTGGAAACGGACACAAGAGGGTTGAAAAAATACGATCTACTACTGGTACAGTAATCTGTAGAAACACAAATGCAAATTTCTGGTTTCTCGCTACAACATTCTTGGACTCACTATGGAAAAAATAGCTATAAACTTTTTTGACCCTAAGTAGACACATACACACACACACTGTATATATTTTTACCTCCAGTAGCAGTTGACAGATACCAATTCAATGAAAATTATTTTCAATCTACCATTGCCGGGATACTATTATCCACCATTCACTTGTTCATGTCAAAAAAAACTTTCTTTCAATCAAATAGTTGAAAAAAATATATATCAGATTGAAATTTCAGCTATTTTCCTAAAGATGTTAGAAATGCAGGAAAGCAAAGCAAAAAGTACAAAACCAATTAAAACTAAAGCAACAAAATCTACAAATAAATCTAAAAAACCGACGCCGAAAGCAAATCATCCCCCAGTAGCTGTGATGGTAAAAAAAGCAGTGGAGACTCTGAGTAGCAAGAAGGGTTGTTCAGTGGTGGCAATTAAAAAGTATCTTGCTGCTAACTACATGGTCGATCCAGATAAATTAATCGTTTTCATTAAGAAATTTCTGGGAAAAGCGGTTGAAAACAAAGTTTTTATACAAACTACAGGTATGAGCTGATTCACCTTCTTCGATCTGATTCAAAAATTACGAATTTTTATGACCTATATGAACTTTTTTGTTGATAATTTAACTGTAAAAGTAAAACATGTAAAAAGAAAAGTTGTTAACTGATTGGACACTTCGATCGGCATCTTCGCTCTTTGTTCCTGGGGTTTGCAAAATCATATATTACTACTCCTAGGTAAAGGCTGTACTGGATCGTTTAAACTAGCTAGAGAACCGAGTAAAATTAAAAAACCTGCAAAGTCCCATGTAACGGCTCGTGGCACCAAGAAGCAAACTGTACAAAAGCTCGCTGAAAAAGTCAAGAAATCGTCAAGCAAAAGCAAGACGCCAACTTCAAAGCAGACGTCCAAAAACGATGCTAAGAACGTGCAGGGACATAAGCGCACTACTGTCTTATCCAAAGACAAGCATAATTAGTTATCAGTTTTATTTATTTACATTTTTATAGACTTTTTACTGATTGAATAGAATAAAAAAGTGTTATACTATTTACTTTATAATTACTGCTTGATGTATCAGAACTCTAACTAAACAATTTTTTAAGAATATTTAGATATTTATGTAATTATATATACTTTTTTTACACCTAATAAACATGCTTTAGTCGATCAGCAAATGGACAAATATATTCTTACCTACAATTACTTTATCCTCTTCCATATCAGTAGTGGACCTCGACGAGGTTGATTTTTTATTGGAAGACGAGTTGAGGACTAAACTGTAAGTAGCAACAGCAAAAAGTGATTCTTAATTTCGAAATTTAAAAGAAATATTTTTCCACACAAACATAATTTTAAGTACATTAAATTATGTTTGTACATACATATGTGTACAGTTGAGCACCAAATAGGCCATTTGAAAGAGTAATTATATCTAATAAACCGTGTAGTTTTTTAGTTATTTTCTTACAAATGCAACCAGTGAAACACCATTTGATTTACGAATAAATAAGATTTAATAATAATAAAATATTTTCCTACATACCTTTCGTGGCTTTTTCCCCATGGTAGCTCTGAAAACTTACTAGACGAAAAATCACTCTTTGATTTCGGCGCGCGTTGTTTTGGGGGCCCCATTAAAGGCAGTTTTCTTCTCTCGAACGCAGCCGCCCCCGGTCTACCTGCATTGCGAATCGGTTCGTTCAAATTCATTATTGTTCACTATTTTAATAGACAATCGCTGTTTTAATGAGTTTTAGTACGAAAATCAAT